CAAAGTAAGACTCTGACTCAAAAAACAAAGAAAGAAACCCCCCCAAACTCCTTAGAATGTGTGACCACTCCAGTTTCTAGCCACCGCTAGCAAAGGCCATTGTCAAACCAGAGCATGCTGAGAACTCTAAAGACCATATGCCTTTTTACTCTATGTGCCCTTGCCTGAAATATCTTTTGTTCCCTTTCTCCTGTTCACCTGGCTTGCTTCTACTCATCCTTTTAACTTCTTGTCCTCTGTGATGGCATTCTTGACCCCTTAAGGCAAATTGCATTGCTCCCTTGTGTTCCTGCTACTTTTTTTCATAGTTTAGCCATAGTTTTTGTAACATTATGTTGTAATTTTCCATCTGTGTCACAGATAGAGAGATTTAATTTTTAAATTTTTTTAAATTTTGTATTCAATTGTTTTAGTTTGAAGTTTTTTTAATTTTCTTTTATTTTTTTTATTTAATTTTTTTTTTTTTTTTTAGAGACAGAGTCTCACTTTGTCACCCTTGGTAGAGTGCCATGAAATTACAGCTCACAGCAACCTTGGGCTTAGGTGATTCTCTTGCCTCAGCATCCTCCTGAGTAGCTGGGACTATAGGCACTCACGACAACACTCAGCTATTTTTTTGTTGTTGCTGTTGCAATTTGGCCGGGGCTGGGTTTGAACCCGCCACCCTCGGTATATGGGGCCGGTGCCCTACTCACTGAGCCATAGGCGCTGCCCTTTTCTTTTATTTATTTATTTTTACTTTTTTATTGAAACAGAGTCTAACTTTGTGGCCCTCAATAGAGTACTGTAACATCATAGCTCACAGCAACCTCCAACTCTTGGGCTCAAGCGATTCTCTTGCCTCAGCCTCACCAGTAGCTGGGACTACAGGCGTCCACCACAATGCCCAGCTTTTTTTGTAGACACAGGGTCTCACTCTGGCTCAGGCTGGTCTCAAACTCCTGAGGTCAGGGCAATCCACCCACCTCAGCCTCCCAGAGTGCTAGAATTATAAGCATGAGCCACCGTGCCTAGCCAAGAGAGATTTATTAATTATATCATGTATCATTTTACAGGGGGGCTATAGTCTAGCCTCATGTCATTTTCATTCTGGGTTACAGGCAGAAAGAGAAGCCTAGATCTAGAAATTTCCAAGCTTATTGCAGAGGGAAAAGAGAAGGGAAGCTGCCAGTCTACTTAATAGTGCTTAAAGCTTCTGTATGAAAATGGTACTTTATATTTCTACTCATATTCCATTGGCCTAAGCAAGTCCTATAGCCAAGCCTGTTGTAAGCAGGGCATGACAATGCTCCCATAGTGAGGAGCCTTGTAGAGAAGGGCAATGAATATTAGCTATAATAATACAATCTACCACTGAGAAGTCAATCACTGAGTTCATCCACTCCTCTCTCCACCACCTACACACACTGTGCTGTGATGGTCTCTATCACGTAACATCCCACATACATCTTGGCCAAGGAAGGGTAAAGTCTTGACTAAAGAGCAGACAGTTCCTAGGCAGTCAATGTAGTCCGATCTGGGGTTAGGACAGTGGCTCATGCATGTAATCCTAGCACTCTAGGAGGATTGCTTGAGCTCAGGAGATCTAGACCAGCTTGAGCAAGAGCAAGACTCCATTTCTACTTAAAAAAATTGGGTGGTGCCTGTGGCTCAGTGGGTAGGGCGCCAGCCCCATATACCGAGGGTGGTGGGTTCAAACCCAGCCCCAGCCAAACTGCAATAAAAAAAATAGCCAGGCATTGTAGCAGGCGCCTGTGGTCCCAGCTACTCAGGAGGCTGAGGTGAGAGAATCGCCTAAGCCCAAGGAGTTGGAGATTGCTGTGAGCTGTGATGCCACAGCACTCTACCGAGGGTTAATAAGTGAAATTCTGGCTCGGCGCCTATAGCTCAACCGGCTAAGGCGCCAGCCACGTACACCTAAGGTGGCGGGTTCGAATCCCCAGCCCGGAC